CATTGGCAAATCATCTTATTTACCTGCTCAAATTAAGGTTAAATACCCTTAATTTAAGACATTTTTACTCATTTTGAGATCATTTTTGCAGTGTACTTCAGGTCTGGGCTTTGACTAGGCCATTCTAACACCTGGACATGCTCGCCTGTGAACCATCCCATATGTTTTCATTTTTATATCATCGTCTTGTTGGTAGATAAATCTCAGTCTCAGGTCTTCTGTATTTGGCTCCTTCCATCTTCTCATCTAACCTCAGCAGATGGCCGCTCACACTGAGCCTGGTTCTGCTGGAGGTTTCTTCCTGTTCAAAGGGAGTTTTTCCTCTCCACTGTCATCTCCAAGATCCTTCAGAGTTTTTGAACAAGATGCTGGAAGCTCTGTTTATATAGATCACAGCTTTGTTTGGGAAGTTTGCAGATTTGTGTTGAAGTAAGCGTTATAAATGAGACCCCTGATGCCCAAATGAGTGAATGAGCTGCAGGCTGATTTTGTTTTTGGGATAAATATGTAATTTTCCAGATCAAACTGCATCAAATGGTTCGATCCAAAGAGGAACTCACATGTGCACCAATCTAAGTAACCCTGAGTGACCTAAATCCATGCAGGAAAGCTAGACTACCATTGAACTTGATTCCAAAAATGAAAGCAGCATCTGGGTGTTTATCCACTGTTCAAATTACTGGAACAAACTTGGCATGACCCGACTTCTTTTAAACCTTTAGTCATTCCTCTAACTGATAAAATAAAATTCCATAACCTTTATCATCTCATTGCAAGCCTGAACTGGAAAGGCCCAAAGGCAGAGATCAGATGTCGACACTCTGTTATTCTTTTAGACTTTATGCAAATAACCTCATGATCCGACCTACAGAGGTCCAAGGTTGTCTCTTGAGCAACCTCACTACTGATTTCCATTCCTCTGCCTTCCAAGGCTCAGAAACAGGATTCCAATCCTCTTGGTAAAAGAGTCTCCTGCATTGCAGAAGCGGTTTTAGTTTGTCCGTCGGGCTTTTTCCGTTTGGTTTTGTTTCGTCTTGTTTCTATGCGACTGGATTAGCGACGCAGAATCAAACATACTAGATACATAAGAGCAGCAAGCGGCTACATCTCCTCCATTTCTTCATTATACGTAATACTGGGAACTCAGAGAGAACATAGATGCCAAATGAAACACAAAACCCTCATTATTCAGTCAGTTTTTAACTCATCATTTTACATTTTTATGCCTCACTGGAACAATTTGATGAAATGTAGTAAAATCGTCTATTTGTGCTTATTAGATGTCATCCCAGCTCAGTTCTGCAACGGAAGAGGATTTGGGGCCCCCAAAAAAAAAAAAGTTTACTGATTTTTTAAATTTTATTTCAGTTTAGTATTGGAAAAAAGTCAGAATTCTGACTTT